AGCTACATCAATAATGATAGAGACCTGTCCACCAAACTATAGCTTTTATCAATTGCCCAGAAAGAACCGAAGAGGAGGAGGGGTTGCAGCCATTTTTTGCTCAACATTTTTGTTCAGAATAACATAACTAGGTGAGTTCATGTCGATGGAATATCTAGCCATTGAACTAAAAACTGAATCAACCATAATTGTCACAATATACCGTCCACCTAGACACTCACCATTATTTATACAAGAGTTCTCTGAATTGATCTCATTATGTGTCACCAGTTACGATAAGGTCACCTGAATATTCATATAAATAAAAAAGCGGACTCCAAAGCTATAGAGCTTGCAAATCTACTAGATAGCTTTGATCTAACACAGCATATAATAAATGCAACTCACCGACATGGTAATACATTAGACTTAGTGATAACAACTGGACTAAACATCAATAATATCTCAATAACTGAGCTACCTCTCTCTGACCATCACTGTATATTCTTTGATGCTGAAATAACCCTTACTAAAACAAAAAAAAGAAGTCATAGTTCAAAAAAGGCTCCTTAACGACAAAGCTGAATCAAAGTTCACCGATCTCATCAGACTCTATGAACCACACAGTCACGACAGCTCTCTGAATGAAATGGTAGAACATCTCAATGATGCACTATCATCTGTATTAAATTCTGTTGCCCCACTAAAAAGAAATCGACAAGCAAAGCCTCCCCCTGGTTGAACTATAATGTTGTCGAGGAAGAAAAAAGGAAATGTCGTGCAGCAGAGAGAAAATGGAGGAAAACAAAAACCACTATCTGCTGTGATATCTACAAATATGCTTTAACTGCATATAACAGAACCATCAGACTAGCAAGGAAAGATTATTTTTCCAATATTATCACAGAAAATGCCGGAAATTCCAGTCCTTTTCTCCACTATCGATCAGCTGCTAAACACTGTCTCTGCCCCCCCCCCCCACCCTCCTGAACAGCTAAATGTGAGGAATTTGCTCTGTTTTTTGAGAACAAAATAACTTCAATCAGAGCTAGTATCAATACTAGTGGAGGTGGAGATGAAACCGATCTCAGTAGAGTATGTAATGTAACTTTACATGGATCACACTAAGCGAACTGTGTAAAACTGTCTCAGAAGCAAACTCCACAACCTCAGACATTGATCCTATCCCCACAAAACTCTTTAAGCGAGTGTTTGATAGCATCTCCAGTCCTGGACCTTATAAACACATCCCTTAAAACTGGCATCTTCCCTGATGCCTTTAAAACAGCTGTTGTAAAGCCTCTATTAAAGAAACCTAAATTGGATAACAACACAGTAGCAAACCACAGACCAATATCAAATCTACCATTTATCAGTAAAATATTGGAAAGAATTGTCTCAGTCCAAATCAATTCCTTTCTTAAAGAAAACAACATCTTAGAAGTATTTCAGTCAGGTTTCAGAAAATACCACAGTACGGAAACTGCACTCACAAAGGTAATTGGTGACATCAGACTCAACTCTGATGCAAATAAAATCTCCATCCTTATCCTATTAGATCTCAGTGCAGCTTTCGATACTATTGATCACAACATCCTAATAAATCGACTTGAAAAGCTTATTGGTTTCTCTGGTTGCGTGTTGAACTGGATCGAAACATATATCAGAGGAAGGATGTTCTACATTAGTCTAGGAGGCCATACATCAGAGAAACATGAAAGCCGCTACGGGGTTGCACAAGGGAGCTGTTTAGGTCCATTACTCTTTTCTTTCTATATGTTACCGCTCGGCGACATCAGAGAATATGGTATAGATTTCCACAGCTATGCGGATGATACACAATTGTACATATCCGCTGAACCAAATGATGTGACAGCCATAAACTCCATTACCAACTGCAATAAACAAATGGATGAACGATAACTTTCTTAAATTGAATGAGGACAAAACTGAAGTCCTACTTGTTGGCCCCAAATCAAAAAGAGAGATGCTAACAAATAATCTAGGAAGTTTAACCACTTGGATTAAACCGGAGGTGACAAGTCTCGGTGTCATCATACCACGTTTCTCACAGGGCGTCATGGATTGAAGAACAATTGTTTCATATCACTAGGCCACCAGGGTGGGTGGAGGGGGTCAGGAGGACGGGACTGAGCTGACCGCACAGCAGAGGACCAGGAAGGGATCTCGGGCGGACGGCCCGGGGGCAAGGCAGAGTTCAAAAAGGGGGATTCGGGCGGACGGCCCGGGGGCAAGGCAGAGTCTAAGGTGGGGGACTCAGGCGGCCGAGCATGAGGGCGAAGGCAGCGGCAGGAAGAGTCAGGGGGCCGGGCTCGAGGACGAGGGCAGCGGCAGGAAGAGTCAGGGGGCCGGGCTCGAGGACGAGGGCAGCGGCAGGAAGAGTCAGGGGGCCGGGATCGCGGGCGAAGACCGAGGCTCTCAGGGGGCCGGGCTCGAGGGCGAAGACCAGAGAGCTCCGGAGGCCGGGCAGGAAGGCGCTGACGGGCCAGCGCCGGAGGCCGGGCAGGACCCGGTGTCGGCCGGACAGGAACCGGAGCTGGTGGGACAGGCCTCGGCAGGTTCCCCCACGGAAGAGGACCAGGACACGGGATTGGCAGGACCCCCGGCGAGACAGAGGATGGCGGGGCCTCCAACGGAACAGGACAAGGGGTTGGTAGGACCCCCGGCAGGAGAGTAGTCGGCGGGGCCTCCAATGGCACAGGACAAAGGGTTGGCAGGACCCCCGGCAGGAGAGTAGTCGGCGGGGCCTCCAATGGCACAGGACAAAGGGTTGGCAGGACCCCCGGCAGGAGAGTAGTCGGCGGGGCCTCCAACGGCACAGGACAAAGGGTTGGCAGGACCCCCGGCAGGAGAGTAGACAGCGGGACCTCCAACGAGACAGGACAAAGGGTTGGCAGGACCCCCGGCAGGAGAGTAGTCGGCGGGACCTCCAACGAGACAGGACAAGGAGCTGGCAGGATCCCCGGCAGGAGAGTAGACGGCGGGACCTCCAACGGGACAGACATACGATTGGTAGGACCCCCGGCAGAGGAGTAGTCGACGGGGCCTCCAACGGGACAGGACATGGAGTTGGCAGGACCCCCAGCGGAACCTCCAACGGACCAGGACATTGGGTAGGGACTTGAGACGTGACTCGAGAGGGGACTCGAGAGGAGACTCGAGAGGAGACTCGAGAGGGGAACCAAGGGGGAACTTCGAGAGGGGACTCGAGAGGGTAACTAGAGAGGGGACTCGAGGAGAGACTAGAGGAGGGACTAGAGGAGGAACTAGAGAAGGGAACTCGAGAGGGGACTCGCGAGGGGAACTAGAGGAGGGAACTAAAGAAGGGACTAGAGAGGGGACTAAAGGAGGGACTAGAGGAGGGACTAAAGGAGGGAACTCGAGAGGGAACTCGAGAGGAGACTGGAGAGGGGAGGGGACTCGGGTAGGAACTCGAGAGGGGACTCGGGTAGGAACTTGAGAGGGGACTCGGGTAGGAACTTGAGAGGGAACTTGTGTCGGTCGGTACGCCGACAGGACACGGGGAGCTGGCGTCGTCTGGGGAGCCAGCAGGAGACGAGGTGCTGGAGTCGGCCGGTACGCCGACAAGACTCGGGGAGCTGGCATCGGCTGGGGAGCCAGCAGGAGACGAGGTGCTGGAGTCGGCCGGTACGCCGACAAGACTCGGGGAGCTGGCGTCGGCTGGGGAGCCAGCAGGAGACGAGGTGCTGGAGTCGGGACCATGACTGCTGGAGCCGGTACTTGAGCCGGAACCATGGCTGGAACTGGGGCCGGAACCACGGCTGCTGGGCCCGGTACTTGAGCCAGAATCATGGCTCGAACTGGGGCCGGAACCATGGCTGTATGGGCCAGCTTTGGTGCAGGGACCACGGTTGTAAGATCCAGTTCTGGAGCCGGAAACATGGCTGTAAGGTCCGGAGCTGAAGCCTGGATCATGGCTGTGTGGGCCGGTTTTGGAGCCGGAAACATGGCTGCTGGGGCCGGCACTGGAGCCGGAACCATGGCTGCTGGGCAAGGAACCGGAACACGGATCCATGGCTGTGTGGGGTGGTACTGGAGCACGGTACCATGGCTATGTGGGATGGTACTGGAGCACGGAACCATGGCTGCTGGGTCCTGTACTGGAGCCGGAACCATGGCTGCTGGGGCTCGGGCTGCTAGCCTGGCCTTGCGACGACTCCTCTTAGCAGCCTCCTGAATACTCCGTGGACCTCCATAAGCCTGACGAGTTCCGGAATACGACTCCTGGACAGGAGCAGAAACTGGGGCAGAAGCACGGGTTGACTTCAGGCGGAACCCACCAAGGCGTATGGTGCCAGGTTGGGAATTGGGAGACAGGGAGCTAGCATGCCTGGGGCTAGCAGGCCGGGAATCACATGCTTGAAGGAAGTCCAAAATCCAGTCAGGTAAAAACTCAACAAAACATGGTTTCTCTGCTGCCAACCGGAGCGCCTCTACCAGAGCGGCCCTCTTCTGCCGAACACTGGACGCTCCCTTCCACCAATCGAAGCAGCAAGCCAGATAGAAGGTTAAATGCCGTAATTCAACCTCCCATGGATCATCTGCTGGGTCCATTTTGTGGTCGGTTCGTACTGTCACGGTGTGTGAAGCAGGTAGGACCCAAATGCAGATTAAAGTGAGAATTCCTTTATTTCAAGGCTAGGTGCTAAACAAAGACAAAACAGAACACTCACCGACGAACTAGTCATGACACAAGACGAACCGACAAAGACAGACAGAAAAACCAGAACTTAAATACACACAAGACTAATCACAGAAACAAGACACAGGTGAGGAGGGAGGAGAAAACACAGGGACACCAGGTGAACACAATCGGGTAAATTAGACACACCAGGGAAACTAACGACCGGGAACCACAGACAGATTTAAACAAGACACAACGCAGACAGAAACAGGCAAGACAGGAAGTGAAGACCTTTCAACATAAAACATGAAACAAGACAAGACAAAACACCATAAAGACAGATCGTGACACTTACACTCTCCCCTCATGAACTTGGATATGTATCCCTCCCAGGGTCCTGGCTCAGGCTGGGTCTTATTCATACAGTCAAAGTGGTAGTAGCTCACTATGTTGTCTTTGGCATTGCGTGCCACGTAGATCGTCTTTGAACACAATCAGCAGGGACATTTAAAAAGGGATTAGCAACAACAATGCAGAAAATCAGGTGACCTAAGGAGAGTTGTATGGCATTGTATTGTTCACCTCTCACCCAATTGCCCAATTGTCATGCTTTATATCAACCTTTATGGTCCCATGTAAGACGATTAAATTCACTGGAGGACTTTGCACTTATAGTCTGACAGTCTTACCTTGCACTTGTTTTCCCAAAATGCAGGAGGCAACAACTGAAAAGGCAGATGTGTCTTGATGATTCTTGGAGGATCCATGTTCTTCATAAGATCAATTCCTTCAACATAAGGTCAGGGAACAAGATTTTATTTTATTCAATTGTATGCTTATGTTTGTGAGAGTGAGTCCCACTCTTAGCATGAATGAACGTTGCTAAATCATAGATAAAGCAGGTTTTTGACTACAGTAGCCTACCATTGGGGCAAGAAAGATTTGTATGGGTTAAGGTGACATTTCTCCTGGAATTGATTGGTAACATGGCACAGAAGGACCTAGTTTGAGGATGTATTTGGAAGTCATAAATGCAGTTTAGCGTTAGCTGCTGGAACAAAGTGCTCTTGAAGATGGACTTAATTCAATTGTAAAGTAACATAACCACATGAATTCACACCTGATGGGATTGGTGGCGGGGAGACAATCTCAAGGAAAGGGCTGCGTGCCGGTGTTGGGGCTCGTTTACAGGCATCAGCATCTCCGTTGTGAAGAAGCAGGTCAACGATTTCCTGGGTCCATGTGGTCCCTAATGTGCCAGGAACACAAATGAACTCTGATTTATACAAAGATACTTTCCTTGTATTAAAGTTTGGGGTCAAATACCAGCTTACTAGTTTATGTACTTTTCCTTAAATACCTGTTTAGTTAGCTGATAGAAGTATTATTTACTTTGGTCAAAGTAGCAAAACTACTCTGTGAGAAACGGTCAAAAGTACAAAAGTATCAAAGTGAAGTTACTCATGAGTATTTTACTAATATATATTAAAATTGATCATTATGATGGCAATGGGTGTTTTGCATAGTTTGTTAAGAAGGAGCAATATTTAACATCCATATAGCCATAGTGTTGTGTAGTTTTATTCATAACAACGCTTTATAATCACAGCACAAAACTTTCAAAAGAAATACATGACACAAAGAAATGACCCTGATCAAAACTGATTTCTTTATAGAATTGGAGTGGCCTACCTGCTTTGGGGTAGGTGGCGATGAGGATGTCTGAGGGGTCAGGACGGAAAGCCCAGATAGTGTCCCAGCTGTTGGCGATATGGTTCATGAGAGGAATTCCTCTGACTGGGAGCAGAGGGAAGCGGTACAAAGAGCTGCTCGCCCTCTCAATGGCTTCATGGTACGACAACTTTTCCTCACCTGGCATGACTGCAGTTTAGGTAGTAGGCCTAAAGGAAACTAAAATCCAGAAACCAAAATGTTTCAGAAAAGGCTCGGTACGATGGTTCCTCCTGAGGTAGCTCCTCTTTTTTGTGGCTTTTGGTCCTTTGTCAAACATTCACATGCCAGCTCTCTGCAAATCGTTTACATGTCCTGGTCACTCATTCATCATCTCTGCCGTGTGTCCTTATCTGTTGGCAAGGAACCAATTGGGGTGGTCTCATTCTTTCTGTTTTTGTAAGCTGTTTGCACCAGGTTCTTGTTTGTCTGCGATCACTGGAACATGACACAGGCAGACCTACACCAAGGAGCCCTTATTCAACATTCCCAGTTACGTAGGAACTCCATTTGCTAAAAAATACTATATGAACTGCTTGAACTGTAATTAGTGGGAGGAATTTATAAATCCCCATTCAATACATTTGGCTAATTTACATCACAAACAAAGAATAGAAAAGATTGATGAACATTTAATTTGAGAGTTCAGCAAATTAGTTAATAAAAAATAGTATTTTTGTCAGACAAAATGTTGATAATAACCCACTGAAACACACCTTTGGACTCAAACTTTTATAGCAAAATAAAAACACCCAACGGCAGTAAAAGATAGCTTTGCAAAGGTCTGCTGCTGCCTTTCAGCTTTTACAAGCTTGCAAAGTTGAAACCTTTTAAATGACACAAGGAGCACTCTATTCAATCTGAAGCAGTGTATTTAGCATACACATTCCAGGATTTACAAACTCAATTTCCTGCTGAAGGTAGAAACAATATTTTTCACAGAAAACAAGGACCTCACTGACAGCCAGGTCTGTCTCAGAATTTTGTAAATTTCAGGCCATATTGATGCATGTGATAAGTTTACCACTTTTTCTCTATCCAATTACATTTGGTCCAATCCCTCCCAAAAAATGGCTCTTAATACATGTAGGAGCCAATTACATGTGGGTATAAAGGTAGGAACCTATGTGTGTTGGTGAGAGGTTCCGCCGGAAAGCCCATACAGTTTTTGACCACACACGGAGAGCACACAAACAGAGGATTAAAAACAAAGCAAAAGGTATTGTGTAAACCATAAATATCGTGTGGTGAATTAAACAAAGAAACCAGTAAAAAAGGGAAATAAATGGACTATTTCGAACTGGAAACGTTGGTTCTGACATTTAATTCGGCAGCAAACAAGGTGTGCGTCAATTACACCCACCAAGCGGATCCTCAGAGGCTTAAAGCGTTGGCTTAGCCTCTACATATAGTCAAAAACTAGCCTTTTTTGGAGTAAAATAGTCAAAAACTAGCCTTTTTTGGAGTAACACAAGAAGACATTTTTTCGTTGCGTTTATCGAACGCTGAGAGCGGCTGCTCACCTTCTACCGGACGCCGAGAGGAGGAAAACAACACGCCGGCTGCTCAGCTGTTAGCAGCCTCCTGACGCCGAGAGGAGGACGGCTACAACTCGTTTGCTCATCTGCTGCACAGGAAGGCGACAGGAGCAACGCGCTGAATGGTGCCGGGAAGCTTTTCGCCGCTTGGCACGGAACTACGTTCATCTAAGGAGGTATGTGTAGCGCGCTACAACCGGTTTAAATGGCCATAGGAATTAAGTTGTGTGCACACATAAGGGGCGTAATTCCAATGCATTGGTTGTGAAAGGGATGAACAATAAGCGCTTGTATTGTACTGATTGATTTGTGACAATCCGTTTGACTTTAAGACATTCAAATATGGAGCAGCGCGCTGCGGACATACCAGCAGCTGACAGAGCGTCAGATTACGTGCTGCCAGCAGCTGGCAAGCTGGATAGCGTGGCCAGCTGTAGTGATGCGGAAAGCACTAAGCGGGTAGTTAAACTATCTGCCAAAGCACTTGCGGAAAAACTTGAGAGGTTGCAACATGGCAGAAAGGCTAAGCTAAATAAAGCTAGCAAATTAAGAACAAATATAAAAGATTTGATGTTAAGTGGTGAACATGCTAAGGTTCAAAATGCTCTTGATGGCTATATTGAATTGTGTGTTGAAGCCAGGTCTATGCATGACACTTTAATGGGTTTATTGCCACATGATGAAAGGGAAATACATGAAACATGGTTTAAAGCCAAAATGATGTTCAATGGTGAATTTATTGTCCAAATCAAGGTGTGGGTTTGTGAAACTGAAGGTACTGGTGATAATGATGAAATCAATCCTGATGACAGTGTTTCTAATGTTGGTAAATCTTCAAACAAAAGTGACAGCAGTACAACTTCATCTGCACAAATTATAGCAGCAACAGAAAAGGCTGCAATTGTTGCTCGCATGGCAGGTTTAACTGAGAGGCATGCACTGGAGGAACAAGAGCTACAATTAAAGCGGAGAAAGGAACAGCTTGATTTGGAAACTGAGCTAGCTGTATCTACTGCTAGGCTAGCAGTTTTACAGGGTTCACATTCACGACGTTCCTCTCTTGCACCAACAAATGGAATGAACTCATACCTGGAAAAGGAAAAAAGGATACTTGCATCTTTAAACATACTTAACCCCCTGGCAAAGGAGTATGATTCCACATCATGGAAAATATCCTCCAGCAAACCAACAAAGATGGACATGGAACCAAAGCAAGCTGAAAGGCAGTTTGCATTTAAGGAAGATGCTTATGTACAAAATCAACATTATCTGGGAACATCACATGGGTTGATAACTGGTGAATCAACTGCATGGGAAAGTCAACAGGAAAATCACCATCAACAAATCAATCGAATTCCACCTGAAGGTTTATTCACCATAATGCAAAAGAAAAATGAAATAACAGCTGCACTGGTTCACCAGCAACGTTTACTGTCTCTACCAGCAAGAGACATTCCTATCTTTGATGGAGACCTGTTTCAGTACAAGGCTTTCATTAAAGCATTTGAACAAGGAGTGGAAAACAAAGCCGACTGCTTGTACTATTTAGAACAGTTCACAAAAGGACAGGAACTGGTTTGTAGCTGCCAGCACATGGCTCCAGAACGTGGCTACGTTGTGGCAAAGAGTCTTTTGCAAGAACATTTTGGGAATGAGTACAAGATTGCTGCTGCTTACATAGGAAAGGCTCTAGCTTGGCCAACAATAACAAAGTCAGAAGACATTAAAGCACTACAACAAGCCTATGCTTTATTTCTGCGTGGATGTGCTAATGTAATGGAAGAACTTCAGTACATGCAGGAGTTGGATATGCCCTCCAATATGAAAATGGTTGTCTTCAAGTTGCCATACAAACTAAGGGAACAATGGAGAAACAAAGCTCATAACATCATGGAAGCCTCAAACAACAGAGCTCATTTCATTGACTTGGTTAAATTCATTGAGAGACATGTACAAGTCCTTTCTGATCCGATCTTTGGAGACATCGAGGATTCAGGACATAAATAAGTTGCTATAAAATCTTCCAACATGTTTCAGCCACAATCAAAGAACAGAATGAAAGGAAGTAGTTTTGCCGCTACAGTATTCCCAATGACTGAGGTCGGAATTAAAACGACAAATAACTCAAACCCACAGGAGAGCTTGGTGTGTCATTGTTGTGATCACAACCCTCACATTTTGGACAGATGTAAGCAGTTCAGCAAAAGGAAGCACAGAGACAAAATTCAATTTCTAAAGGAGAAAGGAATTTGCTTTGGATGCTTGTGTATTGGACACATAAGCCGGGACTGTAAACAACGCTTGATCTGTGAGGTTTGTGAAAAGCAACATCCTACTGCGCTCCACATAAATACATCTAATGTGGAATTGGGACAAACCGCTAAATCACAAACCCCCCCTCAGACATGTGGACGTACAGGGGCCGGAAATGATGGCTGCATTCTTTCAATTATTCCAGTGCAGGTCAAGTCCACAAAGGGAAGTGAGATTATACAGACCTATGCATTTTTAGATCCTGGAAGCACAGCCACATTCTGCTCAGAAGATCTCATGCACAGATTAAACATCACAGGAAAAATAACTAATTTTCTTTTGAAGACTATGGGACAGAAAAAGGTCGTTCCAGCTTACTCCTTATTTGGGATGGAGGTATCTGGTCTTGAGCAAAATAACTTTTATCCTCTTCCAGAAGTCCTCACACAGAAGCAAATGCCAGTAACCAAAGAACACATTGCTACAGCCGCAGATGTGAAGAGGTGGAATCATTTGTCAAAAGTTCATATCCCCAGCATAAATGCCAATGTTGAGATGTTGATTGGAACCAACGCTCCCAAGATATTGGAACCTTGGGAAATTGTCAACAGTTGTGGAAATGGCCCATACGCTATAAGAACAGTGTTGGGATGGGCCATCAATGGTCCTTTACATGGAAGCAGCAATGGCAGCGATGTTGACATGGAGCTTTCTTCTGTTGTGGTGAATAGGATTTCTATTTCCAAATTGGAGCTCATGCTTAGCAGTCAGTATAATCATGACTTTAATGAAAAGCCCTCAGAGGAAAAAGAGATGTCAAGGGAAGACCAAAAATGTATGGAAATCATGAATACGTCTGCAACACTACAGGACAACAGGTACAGCCTGAAGTTGCCCCTTAAGACACCTGACGTCCTTCTTCCAAACAACTTTGCAGAGGCTACTTAGATTGAGGAAAAGATTTGTGAGTAACCCAATGTTGCATAAGGAATATGCCAGCTTTCTGAATGGAGTGATTAAAAAGGGTTATGCTGAACTGATTGTGGGTGACTCTGCTGTAAGAGATGTAAAAGGTCTGTGTAATAAGAACAACACCAAAGTACTCTGTTTTCCCAAGGATGTGGTCTCTGACTTGGCTGAGAAGATCCTGCATATTGGGGCTGAACATCCGACTGTGAAGAATGTGGTACTGCACATTGGAACAAATGACGTTGTGAAACAACAGTCAGAAGTGCTGAAAGAAGACTTTAAATGTTTGTTGGAAACTGCCAGCTCTCTAAATGCAGAGGTGTTCATCAGTGGCCCTCTACCGCCAGTCAGAAGAGGAGTCGAGAGATTCAGCAGATTGTTTGCACTGAACACCTGGCTTTCAACGGCCTGTACTGACCATTCTGTTCATTTTATTGACAATTTTAACTTTTTCTGGGATCGCAGACATCTTTTCAAGGCAAATGGAGTTTGCCTGAACAAGTCAGGAGTGAAATTGTTTATCTCTAACATATTCAACTGCCTGCGTCATCAATCTGTTCCCTCTGCCAAGGACAAGCGGCAAGAGGAATCAAAACAGGAGAAGGACACAACACATCACACAGAAAACCCTGAAGAATTATCACTGCACCCGCCTGAGGAATGTTCTGATTATGGGAGACCTATGAGACAAATGGAGGAGTCTCCACTGCCCGTCACCCCCCCCCTGTCAACGCCTTTGAGGATACTCCGTTCACCCTTTCACCCTCGCCCACCCTCCTGGAGATCGATGAACACACAAAGGAGATACAGAGGGTTGGCACCGATTCCTTCCTGGAGTTCAAAGACCAAACGAAGGCGATACGCAGGGCTGGCACCATGTCCTTTACCCCCGCTCCTCAACGACGCCCACCAAAATCACCGCGGAGACGCGCACCATCTCCCCCGTCCTCATCACCGCGCCTACGTCAACCACCTCCCCCCCCTGGCAGCATGTCCTCTACCCCCGCACCATCTCGCCCGTCTCCATCACCGTGCCTACGTCGACCACCTCCCCTCCCTTCGAGGGGGCATCTGCAGTCTCCGAAGCCTGATAAGGATGTGTGTGTACAAAACACAACAAACTCTTACTGATATGTGATGGGTCCAGGCTCAAGGGCGTATGGCACTCAACTCTTTCCAGGACATGTCGGGGCCCTGCCTGCCAGTAGCTTTGCCGATATCTCTGTTGATAGGTAATAGATTAAGAGCGGTGAATCATAGAAACAGGAAGCGCTCAAACGTTTGTGTGAGTGTATCTAATTTAGCAGTGATTCCATGTCAGCCACAGCTTGTTACAAAAAACATGACTGATAGTGTGTTTAACAAACTTAAACTAGCTTTATTAAATGTCAGGTCTTTGGCAGGAAAAACATTTTTA